TTTACCAATCTTGAAAAGATAATGGAATGTTTGATGGTAGAATCACCAATTTAGATTATAAAGCAATCTCCCTCCAACGTAAAATAATCCCAAAGAAAGTAATCTTCCTTTAACATCAACCGAAAATAAAATATATTCTCAGCAATCTCACGGGATTAAAGTCTTAGTTAGTAGTAATGCAATAAATGCGAACTTAGATAATAAATCCAAAAGACATAAGAAAGTCACAGAAGTAACAAAATAAACAGTTCTACCAAACACCGTTCAATCAAAAAGGATAATACGGGAAATAAAACGGTAGTGCTGTGCTTCACGCTACTATAAGAGCCAAATGTGGCTATAGATAATCTAGGGAATAATAAAAAATGACTTTGAAAGAGGGAGAAGAAATGGCGAGAGAGAAGCAAAAGACAATAACAATGAAGCCACTTAGCCCGGTGTCCCAGCTATTCGTTTCGCCTGGTTTCTACTGCGTCATTGTCTTTACTTTAGGGTTTAAAACTAGATGCAACCCATCAGCCATTGTTGAAGGTATCAAGAACACATGGATCAAGCTCCCTCGCTTCTCTAGCAAAGTGGTAACATATACTCCTTATTTTACATGCCTTAATTGTTAAATATCTAACCATTTTCATGTCAAACATTCAAATTTATAATATACCATTTCCTTGGGTACACTCATGCTCAAAACATAACTATTTATTAATTTGATCATGAAATTTTTTTTCAGGTTATGGATGATAAGAAAAATGGAGAAGCGGTTTGGGTCCCTGTTAGTGTTCGAGTAGAAGATCATGTCATTGTTCCCGACCTTGATCATTCCAACATCGAAAATCCTGATGAGTTCATACAAGACTATACGTCAAACCTAGCTAATACTCCAATGGACATGTCTAGACCTTTATGGGAATTTCATGTACTGAATATAAAAACATCTAATGCAGAATCTTTAGGTATAGGGAAATTCCATCATTCACTGGGTGATGGGATGTCTCTTATGTCTCTTCTATACGCAAGTTCACGAAAAACATCAGATCCCGACGCTCTTCCTACTACTGCGGCTACAAGAAAACATGTTGACACCAATGATAAGGCTTGGTGGTTGTTGGTTGCAAGATTTTGGTTTATAATAAGAGTCATTATTACAACTGCTACTGAAATGTTCAAGTCACTCCTTACAGTATGTTTTATGCGGGATACTAAAACTCCTCTTCTTGGTAAACTTGGAGATGAAATTCGACCTAGAAAGATTATCCATCGGATAGTAAGCTTTGATGATGTCAAGTTCGTAAAGAACGCAATGGAAATGGTAAATATATTTGTAGTTGGTATCATTTTTCTTTATATTGGTCGTTATGTTTATTTCCTTATATATAGTAAGAACTTAATACTTTTTTGTCTATTTTGTAGAAAGTGAATGATGTTCTTCTTGGAATGACACAGGCAGGTATCTCAAGATATTTGAGTAAAAAATATGGTAATTTCAAATTCCTTCTCCTTTTATTTATATATATCAACATACAGTTGTTATGTTTTGTTTCACACATCTTACCAAATTAATAGTATTTCACTAACAGTAGTTCCAATATTTGATGTTATTAGAAAAAGATGAAGATTCAACGGTCGGGAAGAAACAATTTTTAGAAAAAATCCGACTTCGTGGTACAGTAGCTGTAAATTTAAGACCAGATACAAAGATAGAGGTAAATCAATATTGCTACTGTTATTTAAACTCTATCTTATTAAAGAGAATTTTATGCATCATTTACGAATTTAGAATACAAGAACATAACGAATATAAAATTATGTAGGATCTCGCTGATATGATGGCAAAAGGTTCAAAATGTAGATGGGGAAACTTCATGGGTGTTGTTTTATTTCCTTTATGGATAAAATCTGAGGATGATCCGTTGGAGTACGTCCGAAGAGCCAAAGCTACTATGGATATGAAAAAAGTCTCCATGGAAACACTTCTGTTATACGGAGTCATCAAATTTACCATGAAAATATTTGGGGAAAAGGTAAAAATATAAAAACCACTATCAACTATACTTAATCCATATATCATATATTCACATGTGTACTTGTTTATATGTATATAAAAATTATTAATGACAGGCAGCAGAAACTATTGCTAAGAAGATATTTGGTCACACAACATTGACATTTTCAAATGTGTTGGGTCCAAACGAAGAAATAAGTTTTTTTCAGCATCCGATATCTTACGTTGCAGCAAGCGCATTGGTTGGACCACAAGTAAGTACGCTATAACTTAATCACGCATTGGTTTGGACCACAAGTAATTGGTACGTATAACTAATCATGCAGAAAATGTGTTTGTTGTTTGTTGTTGGACTAGGCTCTAATCATCCATTTTGTAAGCTACGTAAACAAGCTTATCATCAATCTAGCTGTCGACACAGCAGTGATTCCCGATCCTCATCTCCTATGTGATGATTTAATAGAATCGCTGGATCTCATCAAACTTGCTATCTTGGAGAAAGGACTTCATAAAATGGAGGTCTAAGACATATATATCACCAGATGCTAAGAAGAAGTTTTATGTTAGGAAGATAAAATGTGGTGACATGACTTATGTTGCTTGGATTGATCTCAATAAAGGGTTTGGGTTTCTTCTCGTTCCAATGATATTAATCCTTGAGTTTATTAATACTCTACATGTTTAAACTATGTAGAGTAAATGGTATGGTCACAGTGTAATCTTGTTTCAATGGCTAAAGTCATAACAAGTAGCGATTATATAAAAGTAACAATGAGAAAACAGTAAGAAAATATTATAGACAGTAGCATTTACACAAGGCTGCAAGACGAACAAACGAAGAACACTGACACCATATTTACATAATCAGAGCTACTTTGCATCAACAAACGGAATTTGAATATTCCCTTTTTTCCTTCGGATTTACCGGAACTTTTCAAGAGCTTGTGTATTGTTCAAGAGCTTCATCATGAAGTTAAACTTAGTGTCTGGAGATATCTTTGGTGTTGGCCAACTCGCTCCTTCAGGGATCTTGATGCACCTGAAATCTTGATCTTTGTAAAGTTTTGTGGCTCCTACATTGTTGAGATCACAGTGAAGGCCTATAGCTCGACATCCCCAGTTCTTGGCTAAAGCCTCTGCTTTCCAGATGAGCCTCTTTGCTATTCCCTTGCGCCTGAAATTCTCTCTCACCGCCACGTTTGATATGTAAGCAATCCCCGTCCTGGCTTTGAATCAGTAACACACACTCAAACCATTGTCAAACAAATAAAAAGGAACACAGATCCTAACACAACACATTCTCAAGCCAAAGTATGAATCTTTTTAACATCACCAAGCCAGCTAGAGTCCCAAATGACACATTTTGGGTCCTTAGTCTAAGGAACAAAGGATAAGAAGAGAAAAAGGCGAACCTTCGTTGGCGGAGAGGTCCTTTCCTTGGAAGAAAATCAGCAACAGTATCCACAGTCAAGATTCCAGCGACATAACCTTTGTTCAAACTGATTTTAGCATCAAAAGCTCCAATCTTGAAATCTTCACTGCCAATGCAGATGGTTTCATCTACAGAGCTACCTATCACAGCGACTAAACAAGTCCTCTGGCAACCTGCTGGAATAGAGAACCCCATGACCAACGCCATTAACCTATCTACTCTCAGGACGACATCGAGCGGGAACGAATATCCAGGGAAGAAGGAGCTGCAGTGAGTCTCTGCCACTTCCCAGCAGTCCTCCAATCTTGCTTCTCGAACAACTATTTCAGGTGAAACCGCTGGAAAAAGCTCAGCTATTTGACTTGCATTGCATGCTCCTCCTACACACAAACACAAAAAGAAAGAGAAAAAACAAATCTTTATCATCATCTACTGATGAATCAAATAAAGCCCTCTAAAGCTGTTAATTTTGCTCAAATCACGACTGGCGCAATTGGGGATGGTCAACGAATCGGCGATTTCATCACAAAGCCCTCTAATTGAATGACTAACTAGTGGTTTAACGATCAAAATCAAACTCGATAACCTCAAGAGACTGCTTTCTAAAAGCTAACTCGAATTCATAGCTAAATCGTGCCTTCGAAAATCAGAGGTCAAACCTGATCTGAAAGACGGAGTGTGAGAAGTAGAAATTGTGGGCGAGAGAAGGAAGAGAGACGAGTGGCGTATCCTACGGTGGAGAGAGATTCCAGAAGAGCTATAACAGTTGTGCTTTGGTAAGGCTGGAGATACCGCCGTCGTCCCCAGCGGTATGCTCCGCATTTTTTTCCGTTGGCCGCAATATTTTCTTCTCCAACCTCTGAGCCAGTGGCAACGATTCTAACAATAGACCGGACGGTTCAACCGGTCGAATCGTCACTACAAATGAAAAATCAATTTAATTTGTTTTTTTTTTTTGTAAAGGATACTCTCTCTCTCTCCCACCAATTCACACGTTTTCTCTACAGTAAAATGGACAATTTAATTTAAAATTACGATTTGAAATTAAAAAAAATCATAATTGAAAAGGGAAATTGCTAAAATATGCCTCATCATCACCATCATCATACCAACCACCAACATCATATATCATACTATTACTATCATGCATCATCATACATCTTCATAATTAACAATTATCATCATCAGCCCATGATGATCATCATCATACCTCCACCATCATCATACTATCATTAGTATCATATAACTATCATTATTATCATATAGTTACTAGCATCATCATACTATAACCATTATCTCTATTCAATATAATAGAAGTGTGTTATCCATTTGAACTTCAAAAACAAATTTACATCATACATTATTTTATATCTGAATTTTCTAATATAGATTTTTATGATAATCTATATATATATATATATATATTTGGATTTATATCATGAAAATGTCACATTTTGAATTTTTAGAATATATTATAGCACAAATTTAATTGGGAAGCATAATTAGATGCGAGCGTACCAAAACAATTTTCAACAGCATAGAGGGTTTGGTGAAGGAACTAGGAGAACTGTCAAATGGCGTTGACATGATCAAATATTACTGAGAAGGAAAAAGTGCTGGAATCTATCACTAGGAAGCCGGAGATCAAAGAACATTGTCTCTAATGCGATAAAATATGTGGAGGAGAAGATAAAAGAGAATCTATCACTAGGAAGCCGGAGATCAAAGAACATTGTCTCTAATGCGATAAAATATGTGGAGGAGAAGATAAAAGAGAAAACTGCTCTCGGGCAGCATTGAGATTGATTGCATGAGTCACACTTCAAACTATTTCTTCAAATGTTCATACACTTAGAACTAATTGGACTTAAGAGGTGTAAAATGCAGCTCATAGGTTAGAAACTTGCGGTAAATGAGAATCAAGAAATGGCTAACTGGGAGAAACTTCAGTTTTCGTTCTCTATCTTTTGGACTCTTTGTATTTTGTGTGTTTTTTCTTTGTATATTTTCTTTTTAAACCACCGGTGGCTACTTCTTTAGAATTGACTGTTTTCTTTTACTGCAAAAGATTTGTAAGAAATTCGTGACTGTTTCTTAGGAATGTGTTCGAGACTATTCTGCGATGAAATATCAAAAAGATTATGCTGTGTGGAGGTGTGTTAGTAAATGAAGTTTTAAAAATAAGTATTCTTTGTGGTACATCATAATTGAGCAAAAATATTGGATTCGTATGAAGGGTATGAAGGCAACTATAATAAAAATTTGATTTGCACTTGGACTGTACAAATAACTACCATGAAAGTAAGCTTTGTATTTACTATTTAGATTTAACAAAGTAAACTATTGATTGCCTGATTTATATTTTGGAATATTTTATAGACTTATATAAATTCTTTCATAACATTAAGAACTGGTGTAAGTGGTGCGGTTGTCGAAAACAGAATTTCTTTCATTCCATTGGTCAGTTCGTGAATTTTGCTTTTAACTGTATTTATTTTTGTATCTTCTTTTCCTTATGTAGTTTTAATTATATTGTTCTTATATTGTAATTGCGTTTTTAATCTTGTAATTGCGTTTTTTTGTTTGCAATAAAATGTACATGACCAACAAACTACCAACGAAATATATATTTTGTGATTAAATGTTTTCAAAGCATACATCCCATGGAAGTCTATTTTGTATTTCAAAATATATGAACAAACTTTTTTTGAAAGTCTGTTTTATATTTTAGGTTTAACAAAATAGAATTTCATGGAAATATACTTTGTATTTGTGACACTCAGGACTACTTTGTATTTAATTAAATTTAACAAAGTTGATTTTTGTAAAAATCTGTTTTATATGCAAACTTTTGAAAACTGATTTCTTGTGAAAATGTGTTATGTATTTCATAAAAGCTCAAGTTGTTCCATCTGTACACACTTTGATTATTTAGCTATTATTTAGCTATTACACTAATCCGTCAAGTTTTGTAAGATTCCATCAACATCAGTTACGTAACTTACGTTTACCATTCATACTCTTTGTCTTCAGATTGATTGGATCTACAAACTTGCTGAACTGTAGTTCCAAAATCATGTTTAAAGCATGATTAGCACTCTTAGTTGTATATAAAAAACAAAAAAATAATTAATTAGGCGGTATAAAAAATTAGTCCCGTGCACATTGCTCACGGTCGTATTATAGTAAAGCTGTTTATCATTTTTTTTCTCTTTTAAAGTAGAGTTGTTTCCACAATTGAAATTAGCCACACAAAAAGGAATAATTTTCGTTTTCACGTTGCAAATCATTCAAATTCAAAACGAATATTTCTTAGTCACTTTAGTCGTCACCAAAACTTATCATAACTTTGAAATAGTAGCAGACCATCCTTAAATCCCATACAAAATAACATTAAATTGTTGTCGCTGAATTTTCAAAACTTACATCTAAATAATGAGAAACGTACAAAAGGGAAAGTATAGACTATAGAAAATAATTTTTTAAAAAGAAAAGTTGATGTCGACAAGTGAGAGATTCAAAGTTCTAATCCAAATGATATTATTTGTAAGCCACTGAACCTTTACTCGAAACAGATAATGTATAGTCCGACCGAACTGCCAGCTCAATCACGATCCACAGATCTCGCCACGTGTCTCGCCGACATCAACAAGTGTACTAGCCGTGTTGTGATAGAAGTTTCTGTGATAGAAGCTTCTTTTCTTCATCTTCTCTTTAATGCAGATTCATTTCCGATATCTTAAACGGCTCTTCTTCTAATGTTCTGTTTTTTTTGCTCCCTTGTAACTCATTAATTAATACTTGATCGAATGTTTGTTTTAGCCATTTTGAGTAAGCTTTTATATGCTATTAATGGAGAATATAATAAATGGAGGCTTTGTAATTCCGAAAAGTGTTGTCCCACGGATTTTTAGCATCCTTTTACCCAAAGTTATCACCTGTCTTTAAGAATCTTGTTTATTAATAATTGTGTCCTTTTTCTGTTCATAAAGGTTAACTGGTGTCCTTTTTACTATTTAGCAAGAAATGACATTAATATTCTGTAAGTAAATAAATAAATCAAAACAAGAAGATGTTAAGAAATAAGATGTGCCCTTGTTTACATCATAGAAAAGATCCTACTACGAAGAGATCGAAACCTTGTTCTTCAATAATTGCCTCTCTTTTTTTTTTTGTATACCTCATAGATGTTACGGAGAAAAAAGGAGAATAAGATAAACGAGAATGAGAAGTTTCAACGTATTTTTTTAATTGGATCTCATTTTGGCAAAAAAAAATCGGTGGAGAGCGAAAAGATATCATGTTTGGGAATGTTTGTTCTCTAGTTTTATCAAACAAGATCGGTGCATTTATTATGTGTATCAGAATGTATTCACCCGCTAACGTACGATTAGTCTATATCGAAGTTCAGTTGCCAATAGGGATAGTATAGGAACCGATATTGAGCAACAGTCGCTAACAGTTTCTCTATTGTCATATTCCTAATTTCGACTCTTTCTATTGATATAGACTATAGAGTACAACTTCCGTCAGAAAAATATCGTAAATTTACACAAAACTTTGCTCAGAAAAAACAGAAGTCTCATTGCTAAGATATCGGTAATATATAGTCTCTAATAGAAAAATCTAGTAATAATTGATGAATCAATTCAAAACTTTTTTTTTTCGAAAATAATGGTAGCCCGTTCGTTTATTAAAGAGTCATACAATGATACATCATATGTTGTACGTAGAACTTGACAATCCGCCAAACACCTCGCGTCAAATGTCATATTGTATTTATCTTTGTGTCCAACCCTACTCCGCCATTGACGAACCTATCTAGTCTACGTATTGAGTTTTAGACGGGTCTTCTTCCACATAGATACCACGTGGACAAGATTTTATTTTCATGGTGGTCGATCGTTTAAGCCAAAAAGACTCACTTTACGATTTGGTGACATTTCTTTATTTGTTGAGTAATAATATGGTGTCTCATTCTGCATTGGTTCACATTGTAATTTTAGTTTTATAAGCTATATATATAGTTGGATATGAGTTGCACATCAGATACGTCTGGATTCTGGTATCACCTGCTAGGTCACTAATTACAGTAGTTTATAATCCTTAATTCTAAATTATTATAAATCTTAAGGTCACCTATAACTTAAATTTAAACAGTAAAAGCTCATCGTCGAAACAAAACTTCAAGTAGTTTTTCACTTTAGTACAGGGATAAAATGATAAGAAAAATAGTAATTATTCTTCATCTCTCAACTCTTGATCCGGTCGAAAACTCGAAATATCTAATTTTCTTTAATATGAAACTAGAAGTTGAATGTGGTAAGCTATAGGAATCGTTGAGTGAATTTCGTAGAAACCGACTTCATTATCAGTCAATACATAATCATTGTCAAAAAAAAAGTAAATAGCAAACTAGACGATCACTAGTACCATACATGAAAATTAAAAAGAAACGAGATATGTAATTAAAACACATATTTTTGTTGTTGTTAAATCGAAACACATGTTAGACACATAACACTAGTAAGAAAACAAACAATTTGTGACGGAACCAAATCATCACAACTTTAAATTAAATAGCAAACTAGACTAATGATCGTTGTAAACTGAATTATATCGCAAGCGTTTCTTCATAGTTCTCCTTTTCTCTCCATTGTCTTAGGGTTAGGTGCAGCTCCATGTTTTGTAATTTGAGAAAAAAAACAAAAATAAAACTTTAAGACAACATTTAGTAGGAGGCTTTATTCGAAAGAAAAGAAAGAAAATAGGAGGCCTGTCGACCACATTTCGCGTTCGTCCGATTTTGCTGTCATGTCCATTTCTCTGTAGTTGATGCTCATCGGGTAACCTGATGTTTTTCTTTCAAACTGTAATAACTATTTTTCCAACTTTTGATTTTCCCTGATTCCTTTTGCGTTTAAAAAAAAAAAAAAAATACGGGGCTCATATCAGCGTCAAAACTTCATATGAGCGACTCTTTTTTTTCTTAATGCTTGCGGAAATCATATATATTATCTTCTATTAGACTCGTGAACTTAACTAAGGGTATATAATGAAATTAAATGGTTGTATTTTTTCTAGACACTAAAACCTAAATATGTTTGTGGTAGTATTAGTGAATTGAACTTAGTTATAGATTTAAAAAACTTAGATCAAGTAAGCCAAGAATTTTTTTTTCGAAGTTTTTTAAAATAAATTTAGCATCATGTATCTCAGTTTTGAACGCTTAACTAATCTCGAAAGTGAGTCAAGCCTTAGCATCATCTTAACGCTTAACCCTTACCATTGCGTTTTCTTAACATGGATAATATGCCTAGCGTTTCAAGTAGCCAACTAAAACTAAATCTGGAATGTAAATAGTTCTTTTGTTTGTTCGTAGGTAAATTAATTAACTTACAAAAAATACTATTGGTACCAGCACTAACGAAATTTTATAATGTAGTGAACAAAAAATAACTCGTGAAATAATAGTATTTGCTAAATAACGAGCTAGTTCTTTTAATAAATAGCAATCGACCATCGAGCAATAATAGAAAATACAGCAAGAAAGGGCAAGACGTCAAAGACAATTATATCCATTTTAGGTTAAAACAAAATCGTTATAGACTGAATAACCAAGTTACTGATGGTTTGTGACTTTGTGTATCGAAATAAATTGAAAAACTTATTATTTAGACAAAAATAGAGAACCAGGGCAAAAGAGGAAAAACCTGAATCCACATCGTTCCATAAATACACCCACTCACCATCGATACACATCAGCCAGCCACATCCCTTCTCTCTCTCACTCTCTCTCTTTCTGACTCTGTGGAGGTTTAGTGTACGCATAAGAAATAACAATGACGACGTCTGAGTTGACGGAGGAAGACTCGTTCTCCGGAAAGGACTACCAAGAACCACCGCCCGTGAAGATTTTCGAGGCGAGGGAGCTTGGGAAGTGGTCCTTCTACAGAGCAGTCATCGCTGAGTTCATAGCTACTCTCCTCTTTCTCTACGTCACCGTTTTGACTGTCATCGGCTTCAAGAGCCAGACCGATGCTCAATCGGGCGGCGGAGCTTGCGCCAGCGTCGGCCTCCTCGGCATCTCTTGGGCCTTCGGTGGCATGATCTTCATCCTCGTCTACTGCACTGCCGGAATCTCTGGTCTCTCTCACTCTCTCTTTCTTACTCTTTCCTTAACCATCTTTTGCATTATCTAAAAAAAAAAATCTTTTGCATTATCTTTACATCCATTCTCTAGCTAATCACTTCATTTTCTGAGTTATTTTCAGACTTATAGCCTTAAAAACGCTTAATACATTAATTTTCATAGTTAAAAATATACATGCTTCATAATTCGAGACTTATATGTTCAAACAAGTTTCCTCTTAACAAAAGAAACAATAATTATTTTTAAAAAAAAAAAAAAAAAAAAACAAAGAAGCAATAGATCACAAAATTAACTAGAGTTGTGAAGTGGTTGAAATTTGGCCATGTTGGTCGTGTGGTAAAGAATTGTTTCTCATCTTTTACCTTTCCATGTTGACCACTTTAAACGTTTTAACTGTCAAGAAAATTCGGATTTCTACTTATGATTGGTCTAGGTTTCAGTAAATAGTTTACTCAATTATATATATAAAGAGAAAAAAGAAACTAACCGAGGCACTGCTCTCACTCGGATCAGCTGGCTAATCATTTGTGTATCTATAGGTGGGCACATTAACCCTGCGGTGACGTTTGGGCTGTTCTTGGCGAGTAAGGTGTCATTGGTGAGAGCTATATCATACATGGTGGCTCAGTGTCTCGGAGCCACTTGCGGAGTTGGTTTGGTGAAACTCTTCCAGTCAACTTATTACAATCGCTATGGCGGTGGAGCCAACGTCCTCGCCGACGGATACAATGTTGGCGTCGGTGTTGCTGCTGAGATCATCGGCACTTTTGTCCTCGTCTACACCGTCTTCTCCGCCACCGATCCCAAGCGTAATGCGCGTGACTCTCACATTCCTGTAAGCAAGTCCATCTTCCCTTTCATGCTTCTCTTTCATTGAAATAATCTTTCGTTTGATTCATTATCAATTGAGAGGAAGTTGTGGTTACATTTCAATTTCCATTTACGACCATAACCTTTAATTGATGATTAAACCTAAGCTCAAAACATCTAACCATATTAAACAAAGGTCTCTTATCAAACAAGTGGATACACTTTACAAAAGTATATTATTATGAAATAAAAAGTAACTAAAGTCATAAGGAATAAATTAACATTTTAAAACTATAAACAACCCTAGCTAATTTTTTTTTCTCTTTCTACTAACTAAAATTTATAGTTTAAAAAAATATTGTACTTGCGATGACTACAGAAATCAAAAATGGAAAGAAAATTCAGGATAAAATTATCTTGATTTCGTTGTCAATTTTGGGCCAGGGGACGTAACAGAATCTAGTGCCAGCTATATAAAGCACTATAAATGCTGAAAACGATGTCGTCTAATAATTTTTGGTCTAACGAAAATAATACGAACCAAGTAATAATAAGTGTAGCGTCTACTTTCTTGTAATGAGATAAACGACGAAAGGGTGTCCAATTATTTTTCATTCATTTCTTGTATTTTTCTTTGGCTCCAAATGTCCTTTCACGAAATAACGACATAATCTCTCTGTGATTCACGTATCTTCACCACATTCACATGTCTTTGTACGTAAATGGTCCAAAGTCTGTTCGCAACGACCCATGTGTGTATGTATGTTCATACATGTGCCATGAATGATATTTGTATGATCTTAACCTCTCCTCTCAAATATATATTTCCTTACATAGCCAATCTTTCGGTTAACATTGTCCACATTACTTACATGATTATTTGTATATTCTAGTATAATTCCATCGAATTTAAATTTATATATCATTGTTAATAACATATATGTTTTATGTTTTATTAATGAATTGAAGGTATTAGCTCCATTGCCAATTGGATTTTCCGTGTTCATGGTTCATTTAGCAACAATCCCAATTACTGGCACCGGGATTAACCCCGCTAGGAGTTTTGGAGCTGCCGTCGTCTACAACAATCAAAAGGCTTGGGATGATCATGTTAGTATTTTCACCATTCTAATAACTCATTATTTCGCCTTAATTAATTAAACTTATTAACTAATGAGTTTATCTTCTATGATTTTAGTGGATCTTCTGGGTCGGTCCATTTGTGGGTGCAGCCATTGCAGCATTCTACCATCAGTTTGTGTTGAGAGCTGGTGCTATGAAGGCTTATGGGTCAGTCAGGAGCCAGCTTCACGAGCTTCACGCTTAAATTTGATATTTCAAACTATCGAAGAGGTGAAGAATTCTTTGAACCAGGAAAGGAGGAAAAAACAAAGAGAGAGACCCAAATATTAGAAAAGAAAAACAAGAATATTATTAAAGATGGTCGGGGAGTGACAATTAGTGTCTTATTTGTGGCTTTGGGTGGGAGGTTTGAGTGTGACTTATTAAGGCAGTTTGTAACACACAATCCTTGATCGTGTTGAATCTATGTGTTATTTTGATGTATTTGATATTTATATCCTCTACTTATTAATGGTTCTTATTATATCTGATATATCAGAATTATAAATTATATCTTCTTGTTTAAAAATTACTTTCTCCCTTTTACCATACTAACCTTATTTTGTACCGCACATAACTAAAGAGCATACAAACTAATTAACGGCCATTGACTAAAAATAAACTAATTAACGGTCACTAAGATTGCATTAAGAGACACACACATAACTCAATTCTCTACGTGTTTATTGTACTCTTTACCATAAAACGAAATGAGGTTTATCTCTTTATACTTCTTTATAAACAACTTACTCTCCTTCAATAGTTGAAAACCTAAAATAATACCGAACAGGTTAATTAGCAGTAGAATAGTGTACGTTCGAAATTACCAAGACATTTTCCATATCAAGTAATATTTTAATTCTATTTTGTTATCATAGTTGAGCATTTGACAATGTTTTCAAACTTGTTTTCGAAACCGATTAGTGAATTTTAAATTCGTATTATCAAATTTTGTCATCCATTAAAAAGCCCATTAAAAGAGTAATAAACTAATCCCACCCAGGCCCAATAAAGAAACCCAAGACCAACTTGAGTAAAGTAATGACTTGCATGAGCAAACACGTTTCCTAAACAAAATGCACATCTCCCAATAAAGGACTGTAACGCACAAAGAAAAAATCTGTAAAGAAGAAGTCACAACAGTAGAAAACCATTTCTCCGGCTTCTCTAGAACCTCTCTCTCTCTCATTCTCATCCTCCGAAAACCCTAATTTCAAACCAAAAATGGCAGCTGCAGCGCCTCCACCGCCTCCAACAGCAGCACCAGAGCCAAACATGGTGCCGGAGACTTCCCCGATCGGCCACCCAGTCTTCTCCCGCATCCGCCTCGCGACTCCTTCCGATGTCCCTTTCATCCACAAGCTAATCCACCAGATGGCCGTCTTCGAGCGCCTCACCCACCTCTTCTCCGCCACCGAGTCCGGTCTCGCCTCCACTCTCTTCAACGCTCGCCCATTCCAATCCTTCACCGTCTTCCTCCTCGAAGTCTCCCGCTCTCCGTTCCCCAACGTCGTCGCGTCTCCCGATTTCACCCCTTTTGTCAAAACGCACAACCTCGATCTCCCGATCGATGACCCGGAGTGCTACAATTTCTCGCCGGATATGTTAAACGACGTCGTGGTGGCCGGATTCGTCCTCTTCTTCCCGAATTACTCGAGCTTTCTGTCGAAGCCTGGTTTCTACATCGAGGACATCTTCGTGAGAGAGCCTTACAGGAGGAAAGGGTTTGGGAGTATGCTGTTGACGGCGGTGGCGAAGCAGGCCGTGAAGATGGATTACGGGAGAGTTGAGTGGGTCGTGCTTGATTGGAATGTGAATGCGATGAAGTTTTATGAGCAGATGGGTGCTCAGATTTTGCAGGAGTGGAGAGTTTGTAGGCTCACTGGTGATGCTCTTCTCGCTTTCGATAAGGTAAGCATCTAGGGATTCGATTGCATTGCTGCTGAAGTGCTGCTGAGAGCTATGGGTTTGTTTTCCTTTTCTTGCTTAAAGTTTGTGTTTTTCTTTGTTTTTGTTGTTGTGTAAGTGTTGGCATTTGATGATGATGTTGATGATTCTCTCTTGCCATTGATACTGAATGTGAAAACCTTTTGTTGAATGAAAGATCTGTTGTTTTCAAGTAGAAATGTCAATTTTATTGTGTAATTCAGAGCATTCAAGCAAACGAAAGACCACACATTATTTAGTGGAATGCAAATTTGTAGAGGAAACCACACAATACACTCTTTTCAACGTCTAGAAGGACATTGCTCGGCTTAAAGGTCGCAATGAGCGTAGGTGGTTCATGACAATGAACATGAAGATAGTCCAAACCAAAGGCCACGTCTATGGCGATACTAAGCCACTCATCTAGGCTTCCATTGGGCATGAACTTATAGATTAGAGCTATCAATTGATCTCCTTTGAAATCATCAAATCAATACTCGAACACGCAATTAACAGTTTCACAAGATTACGAAGCTCTATGTTCTTTAAAGATTCACATTCCGCCATAAAACTTCTGTACATTTAGAACCTTCACCGCAACAACTCTGTTCTCCACTGGGAACAATGCTTTAAACACAGTGCCCAAACTGCCTGATCCAAAAATTCAAGGATATTTTTGTGTATCTACTAGTACTATCTACAATCAATCATATCAATTACCATGATACTGTAGAAACAACATACCAAACTTAAGCCATACTCACAAATAAACAACAAATCCAGCACACGACGTTTCCGAAACTCAGTCGTACTCTTACACTTCATGGACAGAAGAATAAGTGATTAGAGAGAGATTTGTGGTGCAAATCGAATCAAAGTATATTCATTAATTAGATAAACCTTGTGAAAAACTTAACACACGACACATATTTTATTAATTTTTCATTAAATACTCTCATATATTAAAGCATCAATATCGATGGTACAATGAGTGACAAAGTTTTTCCCAATGGGATACTGATATTATCTTTACCGCGTTAGCATATAAAAGTCATTGTGGCGGCGTGAGACCTGGCAGGGGAGGAAACCTAAAGCCAGGGAAGCCAGGGAAGCCAGGGAAACTGGGAATTGATCCCGGAGGGGATGACTGTGATGGCAATGGAAACGGGAACCTAAATTGCGGAAAGCCAGGGAAGACGGGAGTCAATCCTGGAGGTGATGACTGTGACGGTAATGGAAACGGGAACCTAAACTGTGGAAAGCCAGGGAAGCCGGGATTCGATCCCGGAGGGGATGACTGTGACGGTAATGGAAACGGGAAACTAAAGCCAGGGAGGCCAGGGGAACTGGGCATGGATCTCGGTGGCGATGACTGTGATGGAAATGGAAAGGGAAATGGTAACATAAAGCCAGGGATACCGGGAATGGATCCTGACTGTGGTGGCATATCAGCTTTTATTTCAACAGTCGGCTTCAGATCGTTGAGAGAGCGAGCTGCGGTTGTTTCGAACGTGAGTTGGAAGATCAAGATTATGGTTAGGGCTAAAGTGGTGGTGGTGACTGGAGAAGCCATGTTTGTTTATGTGCTTTTTTTGCTTGTGTCTTGCAATAGCAGATGTTTAGTGTGAGTATATATAGGCCTTTTTGTCACACAACTA